GAGTCGATCATCAGATATTGTCCAAGATTAACCTTCAGGGTGGATATAGCTCGCTAGCAGCCTCACACCAATGACCTAGTTGACATCATTATTTACCCAGAATGCTTTGCGTGTAAATGAAATGGCCCTGTCCGTGTAATATAGTTTTAAACCTTTAGTTTAAAAATTATAGAAACTAAATAGCCTACAGTATTTTTACAGTCTTTATTTTACAGTTAAAATATATGTTTATCAAATAAAGTCTAATGTTACAACTAATCGGGGATCTCTTTAAAACATTTGTCTCTGTTGGTAAAATGTCTTACGAACCACTAGATAGATTATAACAAAACATAATGATTATATTAGAAAAATAGCTAGAACTCAGTGAATTGTACAGACATTGAGCTAAAATTTGGTGTGGTAGTAGCTGAGGTTATTGGCTCTAATAGGTCACATTTAAAATCAGTTTCAAGACTTAGAACAAAGACAACTCTACTATTTCTCAATATAAGTGAAAATGACATGTTTGTAATGATTAAATTAATCATATATGTTCAAGGGCTGCATGATATAAGGAAAACTTGTGATGTGTGATAACAGTGCTTAATATTGCAATGACAATATGACTTACGATAATTACGATAAAAGAACAAATAMATGTATGTAGGGTTGATGTCTGTTCTGGGTTCAGAGCAAAAATAACAACAAAACTAATCATTTCCTTTTCAGCATAAATTAAAATATAAAGAGATCCATCCAACTGGTCAAATACATGAAGGGCTTCATTTGTTTGGTGAAAAAAACTTCAAGCTTCTGTCTGAGTGACAGAACTCATAAATGCAAACTTTTGAGCCATTTATTGCAGTTGATGCAGTTTTTTGTGATATGTGTATTGCACAAGCTGTTATGAKGATGAGGATAAGATTTCAATATACTGTGCAGCCCTAATAGGTTCTAYATTTGATCTAATCATTAGCATTACAGTACATATACATTTTTTATTACATCATCAGCGTAGACTTCTTCAATGTTGGACAAAATTTGCACAAGTTGTGTATGTGACAAGATTTTTAACGAGGCAAAGCTTTGTAAATACACTGCAGTTTAAATATACTGTTGCTTGTATGTTAATGCTGGGAGGTGTTATTCCTATATAAAATATATACATATTTTCTCTTTGTGTAGTTTTAATCACTTTATTATTGATTAACTTTATTTGTAAAATAAAATGTTGGCAGTTTTGTTTGAGTTTCACTGAATTTCATCCCACGGTTTCAGAGAAGTCAGATGTAAGAGTGAGGAACTGAAGCCTCTCAGAACAGACAGTTGATCAGTGTTTCAGACGATTCTTCCACAAAGTACCAAAACTACAGCTCATCACTAGTTTGAACATTGTAAGGATGCTGAGCAGCTGCCATTTTCTTGCCAGACTGCTGTGTCTGGATTGCGCAATACTGCACTTCTGTTTTGTTTCAACATAACTCGAGAAAAACAGATAAATCACCTGAAGTTTTTCCAGTGACCCCTTAAACACGTATGCTTCTTATGTGAAGAATATTATTTTTATTTGCTTTTGTTCCAAATTTGATCATGATCTGAAACGTGGAAATATGGTTTTAGCATGTGTTGATACGTCACATGTCGCACGCTGTCATTGGTTGACAAGCTTTGTTTACAAAACAAATTCTCAGTTTTTTAATGGTATTCATGTTATGGAAAGGCAGAAGGATAATTTTATGGCCATATCTTGAACATTAAGGGAAATTATGAGCAAAATTAGGGGGGAAAAAAGTTAAAATGGTCCCGCCCACTGGTTCTGTGATGAATACAGCAGAAATCACGAACTTGAGTTCCTGAACAAAAACATCCTGAACTTCCACTTGGGATGTTATTTTAAAGGGTTTTTCTTGTTCTTTTTGAACTCACTGTCAGATTTGATATTGATGTGGGCTAAAACATTTCTCCTCACAGACTGTGCCCATCCACCTCCAAAGGTCTGACTGCAGCTGATGGGCTTTACCTGGAACAGTGGCCGGGCTGAAGAAGTCCGGTGGCAGCACTTTGTGGTTGATCATTGTCCAAGAAAGGGTTCTGAGGTCCAGCAGCTGGGTCAGGACATTGCTGAGGGTGGGTATTTTCAGACCGCCATCGTGATGCAGCAGCAGCGACCTGAGCTGGGTTAGCTGGGTGATACCTGCAGACGTGTCAAACCAACTCAGTCATTACTTCAGCAGAAGTGTGGATATTAAGGTTTTAAACAGACCTTGTAGGAAGTAGAAGTTTCAGCTCAAGGTTTTTACTCAAGTATAAAAGTACTGGTTTTAAAACTACTTATAGTATAAAAGTTAAAGTATTGAAAAGACAAAACAAAGCAATAAGGACAATAGTTTAGTCTGCACCACTGGGGCTTATAG